GTGTGTGTGTGTGTGAGAGAGAGAGAGAGAGAGAGAGAGAGAGAGAGAGAGAGAGAGAGAGAGAGAGAGAGAGAGAGAGAGAGAGAGAGAGATGTCAAAAAAGCAGTTACTTTGTGACAAGTTGGCCACGGGTGCTTGGTATAACGACACGTTTGCACGTCCAGGAATTGGGGGCACGGGACCGGGTATAACCAATATTAACCATAAAAGATGGCGCAAGGCAAAAGTAGGCTAATTAAAAGTGAAAGCTGAACGGGTCCCTGGTTCAGCTGCAGGGTCCCAGGTACAGCTTCAAGATGGGTGTTCTCCCTGTGCACATGGGCAATTCCCAAAAGTGTACAGTACCACTGTTCGCTTGAAGTTCTTCTTTGAAAAGACGAGACAGTCACTTTGACAAGCAGTGAGACAGTGAGACGCAAGGTAGGACTCATGAGCAGAGATCATGTCGCAGAGTATGGAACACAAAGGGCCAGAATATGTGTAGCTGCCTTGCTGTGGTGCAGCACACTGGCTTGCATTGAGTGGAAGCAGCCTACCAAGCTTGGTGTGCTGCTTCTGCTTCCACTCAATGCAAGCCAGGTGCGCTGCTGACGGTGTGCTCAATGCAAGCCAGGTGTGCTGCACCTGTGGCGTCGCACATCATCTTCACGTTGCCGCGAACAGAAGCGGCACACCAAGGTGCTCCACTGCGCTGCTCTACCTTCTCTTGTTTTTTTCTGGTCATCTGATTGTATGCATTCGAACTTGGATCCATACTTCAACAGTTTGTGGGTGTACAAACTGACCTAGGCACGTTGGTACCCAGTGCTTCACCATGAACACACCAATGTGCATTTAATTTACCATTGGCGTACCGCACCACAGCGACATTGCCGTCGCACCGCCTTGCTTTGGGCAGAATTAGCATGCCAATGTTTCTCACTACACCTCTTTCCTCCGGCAGGAGCTTTTTTCGTTAAGGAGTCATGGTGTGGTGCAGCACGCCGTCTTGAAATTATGTTGGCTAGAAACAATACAGAAACAGTATGGCTTTATTTTTCTCGTTTTGTTTTGCAGCAATAAGCCGTAAGACGACTTATCTGTGTGCGGCAGCTGCAGCAGCACATTGGGCTGAAGTCGCAGAGGAACATACATAGCTCGATGTGCCATAGCATATCGTGTTGCCCTGCTAAGGGGGACAGCAACTTGAAGGTGTGTTGCTGTGGTGGAGCACATGTTGTTGTGTCAGGAAGAGGTAGGAGGCATTACCTGGCCGGCGGGCCAACGGTCGCAAGGAGGGCGCGGCTACGCTGATTTTGTAGCTATGCCTGCCTTCAGCACACCACCGTGCCTTGGGCAGGAGAAGCACACCAATGCGGTGCTGCACACCGTCTCGCCGTAGGCACAAGAAGCACAACGCGTTGCCACGGGCAGCCCCAGTGTCTTGCTGTGGGAAGATCCAGTGTCCTGGATTGGGCGGTCGCAGCGACTTGCACGAGCCTCAATCCTGTGCTGAAGCACATCTTCTTGTTTTACCTGACAGTGTGTCTTGCTCCTAATGTCAGTGGTAGAGATAATGAGTTTAGTGACCACCCCACCGCCCCACCTTGCTGTGGTAGAGATAATGTGTCTTGCTGAAGCACATCTTTAATTTTTTTTTTGGGGGGGGGACTGTTGGCCCCACCAGCCCCAAAATAAAGACATCACACCTTCTGGACCATTTGTTCCCCTATTGATTTGAAATCAGTTTAGCGGGACTGCCGCCAGCAGGCGGGAGGACCGGGGCTGGTTGGGCCCAAAATACTGAGGTCCCACCGTCTGAATCAGTTGTTCCCCTCCCTATTGCTCTAAAATCAGTTTACCTGGGCTGCAGCCGGCAGGCAGTGGGACCATGGATTGCTTCTAAGTTCTCACCCTACCGGATGCAGGGGGTTGGCACCACCGCACACAAAATTGTCCCTTCCCCCCCCCCCCAACCAATCTCTTAAAAGGGCGACGGCCTTGAGATATGATCATTGAACTGACTGGCCCCATGTAATTCAGAATGATTTTATTCTGGCTTTTTGTGGATTTCAACAGTTCAAGCACTAGTACCTTTCCCGCATGGGAAAATAGGGAAAACTGGCAGTTTTCCCAAACTCCTGAATCTTCGGAGGTCGGGTCCGACGACTACTACCTTTGATAAATCCGATCGGCGGCCGTCATGTCGTTTCGGCCTCTGGAAAGGTCGGACGCCTACCCGAGGCCCGCTATTTTCCCAGGCGGGAAAGGTACTGGTGGTTTCACGGATGAAAAAATCGAGCGCTAAGTTGTCACAATTTTTTGAGAATTTTTTAAGCTAAGCACATTTGGTTCGCACACAAAAAAAAATCGGGCGCTCAAGTTGTCACAGTTTTTCTAGAAGTTTTTGAGCTCCGACCTACGGTAGCAGGAGCAAAGAAGTCGAGAAAATATGGTACATCACTTCGGTGCTCATCTTATTTCGGGAAAAATAGAAAAATACATTTTAAAAAAATCAAAGAATCAGTCCAAGAAAAATGTGAAAAAGCTTTTTCACATTTTTCTCATATTCTTGCAGGAACCGTGGGACTACCCTTTGGGCCCAAGTATTCTCCACTTCTTGGGACTACCCTTGGGGCCCAAGTATTCTCCGCTTCTTGGGACTACTACGGGTCCCCCTGAACCTGGAAGAGCTGCTGGGACTTGTGGTAGAACCGGTGACGAAACTGACGTGTGGGTTGTATGTGCTCATATCTTGTTGGAGGGGGAGAGGGGAAACTGAGGGATATTTTTTCAGACGGGAAAATTTGACACAGCCACTCACAAGCTGGGTATTTTGTAACACTAGATATAAACATAACTAGCATGGTTCGGCCTGTCCACACACAAGTCCCTCCTTTATTCATTCGACATATTAAATTTTGTGACACTCATTGCCAGAGACAGCCGTGCCACGTCCCTTTTTTCCCTTGTTTTCTTTCTCTTGCCTGATCCTGCAGAAGGAGGAAAGCCCTGAGCACTGCCATAATGCCATTTCATATAAGAAGAGCATTCCATGAAGATTTTTCTACATTGTAAACGGCTACATGACACTATAATAGGAAATGGATTGCTGCGATATAGACTATAGTTCACATCATCACAAAACAAAACGCCCAAATGTAATCATACTAATCAACAAAAAAATTATCAAGGTTCACCAAACTCGCCACAAAAGCTCGATTCCCGCTCCAACCAATGGCAGCGGATGGCTGCTCCGAGGCAGCATTGCCACACATGCAGTGCCATCTCTTTCCAATTTTTACTTGCATGGCAGCTGCAGTTGTTCCATACTCTTGTCAACCAAATACAGAAAAGATGAAGACGGGAAGAGGGGTGAGAGAGAGAGAGAGAGAGAGAGAGAGAGAGAGAGAGAGAGAGAGAGAGAGAGAGAGAGAGA